AACACTAACTGATGTTGTTTATGACAGATCCTGGAGACAACACAAACTGGTGGTTATAACATATATCATGGTGTATGAAATTTGAAGTCCATACCTTCACTGGCAGCCATCTGTGCTGCTTGTAGAATGGGTTGTTGGTAACTCTCTACATGCACCAGTATGTCTCCTGTGTCGGACAGAGGTTCGTCCAAGATCATACACTCACTATCAGTCAAGTCAACGTCATCTTGATCAGACACCACATACACACTATCCTCGCCGGAGGAAAGAGACACTACACAGTTGTTGGTTGATGGTGGTGACAGTAGGGATGTTGTAGCTGATCCAGAGGGTGTGGCTGTAGATGGTGTGTTCAGACTGTCATCGTGTATAATTTGAGTCGACTCACTGCCCAGAGTTTGAACAGATGTGGAGTAACCTTTATAGGACAGGTTCCCCTCCTCCTCATGGTGAAAGTGAATCTGTGCATACAATGCTGACTCTATTTCTTCTCTGTCCCTATCAGAGTTTTCGCCATCATCATCATCATTGCTACTATCACTGCCGTCATAGAAACGGCGCTCATCTGCTGCACAGAACATGATTGCTGTAAAACATAATTCAACAACAAGTATACCAAATGTGTGTGTGACAGTTGTATGTGTACAGAGTATATTATTGTATGCCTATAACTATACATACAATGTAGGTAATGTTTACACAATAAACATGATATTTTCATCTCAAATGATAAAGATCTATTACGTCAGTTGGTTTGCTTAACGACGTCATAATTCACTGACTTATCATATGATAGGTGGTTGTCACTTAACAAACTGTGTTTTTCTGATAATGATTTTAATATATAACTATCCACAAACGTTCCAACACTACATGTATAATCAAAGGAGTTTGACGTGTTATCAATATTAAACTAATTAACAATTGTGTATGGAAAAAATACCCCTTATACTATAAAAAATGTATAAGGGGTATTTTTTATATACAGTGATTGTTATAATTATATTGATAAAACCACGGTCTTAGAAATCTAATTCCGTGATAAAACCCTGTGCTATATATGCTATAACTGAACCCAACCGTTGATTGCATGTCAACGTGAAACACGCATGTTATTCCTAATATTATTATAACCTGGCATACACAGTTCTAATCTTACCATAGACTCTCGTTCAAATGCAGATATCATTCTCGAAAACAATGTATATGTTAGGCCTATCCCACTAAGAGGTGGAATAATTCATATGTCTTGTACAACTGTTCACACATTGCACGTTTATTGTTGCAGTTGGAACATTTCGCATTTTACATATGAAATAATATAAATTGACGAGATATTCCGAAAGGTAAAAATTAAGAGCGACGAGACGCTTTACTCTTACAGGTGTTTGTACTGAGACTGGCAATCTCATATTAACCCAGACCGGCATTCCTGAAACAGTTGCTAATGATAACTTCAGTTTAGATTTCATGTTTTAATTGTTGCACTTTATCCGTTTGAGATAGATTTATAAGACATTATGGCACAGTTGCAGGTGAAAGAAGGGGAGTTTACATCGACAATATACGGAATGGTAATGTTTTGATTGACATGACAAGTTTTACCACTAATATTCTGATGTTGTCAACACTCATACCAGGTCCATAGGTGATCCGGTTCTGGAATATATCATTTATGTGATATATTATCGAACCCATAGTATAAGGGGTGCTATAATATATCACATATACTCCAGAACCCGAGCACCTATGACCAGGTCCAGTACACTCTGCCGATTGAGCTATACAGTATAGCTGTAAAGACCTATAATAGCTTTACTGTTATTAACCATTCTGAAATAGGTCTTTTGAGCTATTTTCATGTGATTTTATTTTTT